CAGGGCTCGGTGCCTGGAGCCGGGCGCTCCGCTCCCGCGGCGTGCCTCCCCGCAGCCCTACCTGGGAAGGCAGCTCCTCCCAAAGAGCACACACAAGCCAGCACAAATCCTACACCCAAAGCCTACCCCTCCCGGGGTCCCCAGCACGGCGAAGGGCGAGGGACCGAGACCCAAACAGCACGGCCCTGGTGTCCTCCCAGCAGAGGATGGCCCCGCCGCAAGGCTCCAGCTTCTGCCCTTGTCCTTCGTGGGCAGAGACAGGGTGCTGGCAGGGCTCCTCGCGCTCTGCCCGCAGCAGCGCAGGCAACGGGCAAACGCTGAGCACACGTGGCAGGACGAGGCGTGGGGCTCACGTCCATGGGGAGGTGGCTTCTCGCCATGCAGGATGGCAGGGCCGCGTGGGAGGCCGGCTGGGAGCAGCCCCGAAGCAAACACAAACACGCCCACAGTTTCGGCGGCACCCTGGGGCTCCCCACCACAGGACGGCAGAGAGCCTGCGGGAGGAGACGGGAAAACCCACGGGGACCTGGGGACACCAAGGGGCCCGTGGGAGCTCCCTCCTCAGGCAGGGGTTTCTCTGCAACAGGGGTACACTCAGCTGTGCAAGAGGTGGCTTCTCTTACACAGGGGTACGAGGGCTTTAGGCTTGCAGGCAGAGTTGAGGGCAGAGGATGCAGGCAGAGGCTTTGCTCCCTGAGCCCCTCAACACACCGCCCCGGGACCCAGGGTACCCACGCAGGACCCCCACGCTTGCACCCGTGTTTGCGTTTTAACTGGACGCCAACCAGAGAGATGGGAAACATCCTTATTTCTGCAAAAAGGTGAGAAGAAACCGAGATGAACAGACCTGTTTCCAGTACATGAAAAAAGGTAAATATAAGCACAAAGCCTGCCCCTGACTTGCTGAAACGAAGCTCGGCAGGAATCCGAGATGTATTCAGCCCCGTGGCTCTCTCCTGTATGAAAATGGGGCTGAAAGTGCCACCACGTATCCATGATCTGGGCAGCGACAGGCAGAGCCGGGGCAGGACTCGGGGTGCTCTCAGCCCCAGCTTGCCCCATCCTCGGCTGGGATATGGCTCCTGGAGGGATCTCCAGCGGCAGAGCAGCCCCGAGCGCGGGGAGGCACTGCTGGGCAGTGCTGCCACCTGGGAACGCGAGGACTTAAAATTCATCCAGGCTGGCAGCAGGCCAGCATCTCCCTGCCACCAGTGCTCCAATACCACCGTTGCGTGGGAGCTGGAGCCCCGCCAGGGCCCGTGGCCGGCTAGGCCAGCAGCGTCGGCCGGCACTCAAGGTCCAGTACGAGGTGATGCACGTGGGGCGCGTAGGACTTCACTGCCTCGATGTGCAGGACGCTGGTGCGCCACGGCTGCCCATGCAGCTCCGCCAGCAGCCCCCGGATCCGTGCTGCCGTGGCTTCAGCCCACCTCTGCCACTCAGATTTGATCCTGGCCCCCGGTGTCTCCTTCCCACTGTCCTCCGTTGGGTGCTGCGCCTCTCCATCAGAGCCAGCTGCCCCTGGAGAGCCCCGCTCAGCCCGCAGGACTGGGGTCGGTGTGGGGCGAGACTCCACGTTGTGGTGGATGTGGAGAACGCCGCCTGTGCCCCTCTTCAGGACGCGGCAGGCCACCGGCCAGCCCTCCTCCGAGCTGGGAATCAGTCCCAGATTCACCCGGTCCGCTACGTCCCGCAGCTCCAGCTGGAAGGAGAGGGGAGGTGAGGGGGACGCTGCGCAGGGCCAGGGGGGCCGTGGCCGGTTGGCACTGCTCACCTGCCTGCTGTCCCCGTGGTGGATGCGGCAGCGGTCCTGCACGCCGTTCAGCGCCAGGTTCCTCCGCAGGGCCTCGACGGCGTGGCCGTTCCACTCGCAGGCGTGGGCAAAGGCGGCCCCTGCGTGAACGAGGTACGGCAGTGTGAAATAGCCGATGCCTGGGGGCAAGAGAGGAGGCGGTGGCTGAGGGCAGAATCTGGGCACCAACGGGAGTCTGCGCTCCCCCCTGGAGGCAGGGTGGGATGCGGATTACTACCCTGGCTCTCTGCATCTGTTTTGCTCCAGGTCGGAACAAGCCCGGATGCTGGGAAAATGGAAATTCATTCCCCCTTGACTCTGCCAAAGTGAAATCTGTCTTGAAAAATGTTTACAGAGGAGCTTATTTTACCTTCAGTCTTTAGCCATTAGCTCGAGACCTGCCCTGCCCTGCTTTCACTCTGTGCAGAAGTGCCCAGACTACCACTTATTTTAATTAAACCAGAGCAGTTTTGTGATTGCCACATCCTTTCTGTGTGGCACAGATTAGAAGCGCTAACTTCCCTAAGCACAAAACAGCGGCTCTCTTGACACGCAAATGCCTGATGTGATCTCCCCTCTCATCTCACTGCATAGGACGCTTCAGTTAGCACCAGCTTGTCATGAAAGCGCATCAGTACAGGCTCAGGACATCTACGGGATCTTTTCAGAAACAATATCAAGGGCAAATCTTTTCCATGGATCCAAACGATTGCCATGACCAGCACTAGGTACAGAGCAGTGCTCGGCAGAGCTTGAGTGCAAGGTCATCCTGAGTGTCCAAAGCCAAGAGGGACACAGGAGGGACAGCAGTGCCAGGTTAGCTGAGAGCTCACAGATGGGGCAGGAGCTCTAAGCCTGGGTATTTTTCCAGTCCAGGCTGGAAATGATGTTTCATATCCACCTGGATGCCATCAGTACCTGTGTCACTGGTCTCTGCCTGCCTGCCTCTGCAAGCCTGCCCTGCTAAATCCCTCTGGTGTCCCCGTTACCTGCGTAGAGATCCACCAGGACCTCCCCGGAGCAGGGCAGCGAGGCCACGCGCAGCTTCTCCGTGATGTTGCCCAGTGAGAACATGCACTTGGTCACGTCAAACGTGTACCTGGGAGATATCACCAGCTCGGTGAGGGCTGCCCCTTCCCTGCACCGGCTGCATCCTGCACCATGACTCCTGCCTACCTGATCCCGTTGTCCACGTGCTCCACCCAGCCATCCTCGCCCAGCAGCAGGGTGACACTGGGGGACCGCATCCCATCCGGCAACACCCGTCCTTGCCTGGCCAGCCGCTGGGCACCCAGAGCCGAGGCGACTGTCTCCCAGAGCGCCGGACCTGCAATGCACCCATCCCGGGAGCTTTGGGAAAGGCCAGGGTAGCTCTGTGGGCAGGATCTGGGCAGGCAGATCCCACTCCCCCTTACCCAGCTTCTCCCATAGCGCAGCCCTGAAGCTGTCCTCGCTCAGCAGGACCAGATCCCCATGCCGCTGCCAGGCGCGGGGCACGTCACGCTCCAGCTCCTCCGACCAGCTCTCGCCCAGCAGCCGCCGCAGCTCATCCCTCAGCTTCTTGGCAGGTGTCTGCCGGCAGGCTGCCCGGGAGGGGATGGGGTCCTGCGGGAGGGATGTGGCACATGGGGCTGAGACCCCACCACCCCATGGCGGGACTCAGGGAGAGGGGTCTCTCTCAACCTGGATCCAGACCAGCCCACAGGGCATCTCCTGGGGCAGCCGCATCTGGGAGAGCTTCTCCTCCAGCACAGGCAGGGCCACACGGCCCCCGGGCACGTCTTGCAGCCGGTAACGCCCGTCCAGGAGCCGCTCCTCTTCCAAATGCTCCCTGCAAGGCCAAGGCACCGTCAGGCCCCCCCCAGCCCCCCCCGCCGCAAGGAAGAGGCCCCCAGGGGTGCGGGGCCAGCCCTCTGAGCTCTCCTCCCTGCCTGCACCCTGTCCCAGGGCTCCCATTCCCCCTCGCAGCTCACCTGAGGCGCTGGGCGAACTGCGGCTCCGTGGCCAGCGCAGGGACGGGGACGTGACTTGCCTCCATCCCCAGGACGGGGGGATGTCACCGTCCAGCAGGGACGCAGCCACCCACCAGGCGGGCACAGGGCGTCAGCCTGGCAGGGGACAGGAGGGAGACGGTGGGGGTCCCTGGCACCGCCATGCTGGGGGCACGGCACTGCCGTGGGGAGCCCGGGGAGGTGGGGTGCCCGGGGACGGGGTGCCTCGGAGGACGGGGTGCCTGGGGATGGGCGGCCCGGGGAGCGGGGTACCCGGGTGCGAGGGGCGGGATACCCGCGGGACCGTACCTCAGGGCCGGTGCCCGGGACTGCGCTCCTGACGCCGCCCCGGGAGCCGGCAGCCCATGGCTGGCTGTCCCGGGAAGGGCTCCCCAAAGCCCAGCACCCCCGGCCCGTGTCCCGGGCGTCCCGGTCGCTCCTACCGAGAGCGGCGCCAAGCCGGCAGAGGCGTGGCGCCCCT